CTTCTCAGCAAAAGAAACAACCTGTGAGGTAAATAGAAAGCTTATATCTTAGGAGCAAATTTTTACCCCTCACACATCAGATAGAGCACTAATCTCTAGGGTATATAAAGAACTCAAAAAGTAAACACCAAAAATAAAAAATAAAAACAAAACAAAACAAAAATCCTGGATCTGTTTCTTTAGGGGGATGGATAATTACTGTGTTTGTCCAAATTGGTCTCAAACTTGTGATTTCAAGTGATCCTCCTACCTTAGCCTCCTAAGTGCTGGAATTACAGGTGTGCACGACCACGCCCGGCTATGATTTGTTTCTTAGGTTATATTATCTTCATTTTTTATAGTTCTATTCTATCCCCACCTTCCTCTTCCCTCCCCTCATCCTCAGGAACGAGGAATGTGTCCTCATGGGCAAAGTCTGTCTTCTGTCTGGTTTATTGCAGGTTTATTACCTCACCCTAAGTTCATGTGTCCCAGGCTGTCTGTCTCCCTTCTAAGTTCTTATGTGAATTCCTTTGCACATCCCTAGGAGGAAATCTGGTTTAGACTTTCATCTGAAAGTAGAGGCTTTATTAATTAACTTCTCAAAACTTCCGATTCAAGGATACTCTAATTCTGAGGTCTTGGATTCAGTGATGCCACCATTCTAGATTCCTGAGCTTCTAAAACTCAGATTACACCAAGCTAGAATTCTGTGATGCCAAGATTCCATGACTGTGAACTCTATGATCTAGAGTTTCATTGTCTTTTATTGTGGTTAGTGAATTTTGTCATTGACTTGGTGACAAGAGCAAGGATTCACTTGGTCTGGTTTTCAGCATTTGTTTCCCAGAATTTGCAAATCTAGACTCTAGGCTCTCTTCTCTGGATTTGCTGAGATAGAGGAAGAAGATGGCTGATAAGAGAGGGATTCCCACTTTTCCTGAGGCTGTTGGGTAGCCCAGTCCTAGGCCCCAACAGTTCATTCTACCTCATTCAAGCCCCTCATTTGTCTCCATATCTGAGAATAGCAGGAAAACAGTCTCCTTTACAGCCCTTCCTCCCTGGCCTGCCCTAGGGTCCAGGGGAAGAATATTCAGTGGAAGACTGCCCTAGCCAAATGGGCAGCAGGGGAGAGTTACACACAGGGCAAAGAGCAACGAAGGAGGGCTGGGGATGTGGCTCAAGTGGTAGCGCGCTCGCCTGGCATGTGTGTGGCCAGGGTTCGATCCTCAGCACCACATACAAGCGAAAATGTTGTGTCTGCCGAAAACTTAATAAATATTTTTTTTTAAAAAAAAAGAGCAATGAAGGAGGCATGAAGATTCCCTAGGAATTTCTGAAGCCTTCCCCAGAGGTGAGGAAGGAAGAGATATGGGAAATGAGGGTGTAATTGAAGGCACTGGGTGAGGATGGGTAATTGGTATTGCATCGTAATATTGGAGATCAGCCTCCAGACACTGACCCATTAGTGACAAGGGACCTCTAGCCCGGTGCTCCAAAGGCTGTCTGGTCTGGCTCCTACCCTTTGACCTGGTGTTCTCATACCTGAGTCAGACTCCCAGAAAAACCCAGAGGGAAGGAGCTGGGGGATGGCGAAACAGATCTTCCAGAGTCACTTCCTGGGAGGGCCCACTGAGGCTAGAAAGGGGACAGAAATTTCCAGGCTTAGTGTAGAAACTCAGGTAGAAACTGAAACTCGGGGCTCCTGACTCCACTCCAGAACTGCTCTGTCTCTGCTCCAAAGGGTCCCAAAATTATAAAATGCTCCTCCAATCACATGATTGATGAGACTCAGGGCTGGAGGATGGGCCTGCCCCAGGCTACCTCCCAGGAGCCTTTTGGACCCTATCCTCCAGTCCCAAAGCAGGAGACTAAAGCTGCCAAACCCGATTTTCTGGTGGCTGCCTGAAGCTGGCTGGAGCAGGAAGCCTTCTTCCTGGCATTGGACACCTCAGGCCACCATCCTCCTCCCCCTTACCTCATGATTCCCTGGCCTGGCCTTCAACTCTGCATCTGTGCCAGCTGTTCCTCAGCTTCTGAAAGTGCACCCCGACTTCTTCACTTCTTCCTCCACCTGCCTGACATCTCCGTTGGGTTGCACACCCCCTCGATTTTCTCATCTATAGATGGGAGCAGTGGCCTGCCTCTTAGGGAATCAAGGAATCAGTTGCAGCTGTGGAGGGGGGGATCCAAAGAAAAGGGGTGTGAGAAGGGGGCCCATCACTTGCAAGTTTGGTGTGGTACTGGGAGCGATGCCTGGGGAGTGAGAAGAAAGCACTGCCAGTAGAAATCTGGAGGTATGGTTGCTGGGGTAAGGATACAAGGTAAGGGAGGGTGTGCTCCCCCTGGTTTTCTTACTGTTACCCCACCTATGGGAAGCAGAAAAAAGGAGAGTCACAGAACATCATCCCAGACTACGTGCCCGCTGTGTTCAGAGCCCTACCACTATTTAATAAGTGCTGCCCCTGTGGTGCGTTTAAAGTCTGTCTCCCTCCGAGCTGTAACCCTCATGGGGAAGAACTCCCATTGTCTTGCTTACTGCTCTATCTCATCTCCAGAACTTAGCACCTCCCTGGCACAGAGCAGGAACCATTAACTGCTACAGAGCTACACATTTAAAAGCAGAAGCAGAGGCACCTTTAGAGGCTGGAGACCTGCCAGGTGAGCTCACCTAACCCAGGCTCCTGCTCCAGGCTGCCCCATGGCTCAAGCATTCTCCTCTGGCTTGGGAACTGGTGTTCTCAGCTGCCAGGGAACTCTAGCTGGATGGAAGAGAGTGAGCTGCACCCAGTCATCCAGGGGACCACCTAAACTGAGGTGGTGGGTGCCCTCTAGCTGTTGCTGCCTCTGAGAGCCTGGAGGGGGAGGAGGGGCAATGGAGGAGCGTCATTGCAGATAGAGCTAAAAATAGCCAGAAGAGATGATGTCATTGAGTTCCTGCATCTTAGCACCCCCTTACACACACACACACACACACACACACACACACACACACACACACACATACATCCTCATTCACTCTCAAAGACAAAGATATACACAAACATGGCATACATGCACATGCACACACACACCACACACACACACACACACACTCACCTTATATAGGGGAGGGAGGCTTCTAGGTCCCAGGGCTGCAGGGGCAGGGAAGTCTGGTGAGTGTGTCTACATGTGTGTGTCTGTTTGTGCCTGGGTTTGCATGAGTGTGATTTCATGTGTCTATATCTATATGCTGGTATGCTTGTGTCTGTGTATGTTCATTTGTAGGCATGTGTATGTATTGTTGCATGTATCATGTGGGGGGTCTATATGCATTTGTGTTGGTGTGTATCTATTTATGTGTCCGCATGGATGTGTGTGTTTCCTGCCTTTGTGTCTGTGAGTCCACTTATATTTATATGACTGCATGTTTGTGGATTGTGTCTGGTATCTTTATATGTTCGGGGCCCCTTTGTGGGCCTAGGGCACTGGCCTAGCCACCTTCTATCTCTGATATTCAACAACCCTTTTTCCATACCCTGAGAAGCCCACCACTTTTGTATACTATGCGACAGTGAATTCTCTGCTCCAGACCTCACTGCAGGGTCCCAGTCTCTGGCAAGCCTTGGATGGACTTAGATAGAGTTTATTTTCCCTTCACAGGCAACAAAGATCATTAGCCAGACTTCTTGAACACCAAGGGGCCACCCCATACCCAATCCTCAGGGGCATTAGGACACACACTAACATGCACAAAGCAATACATTAGAAATAGAGACCCTCACAATGTTCCCAAACAGTAGGACACAACCCTAAGGAGACACACCCCTCAGAAATTCAGTTACACCCAATGACACATGCGCACACTCAGAAATCCAAATGGAAAATCCCCAGGCCAGAGAGCTCAGCACCCTCCCCCATTTCTGGGCTCAAACTCAGTCTTGCCCCACCCCCAAGTGCCTCAGCTCAGCTGCCAATTCTGCAAACACTGACCTCAGAGGATGGCGGGGGCTGAAGATGATAGGCCCTCCTCAGACTAACTTTTCTGTACTCTCTCCTCCTTCAGGCTGCCCCCATCCCCGCCCCTGACCTTGATTTTTCTTAGCAGAGCCAATGCTGTCTCAGGCATACCCGTTCCCTCACTAATACTCCTTGACATACACAACCTGCCACAACACTCATTCCATGACAGAGGCATATCCAGTCACATGTGCCTTATACTCCCATTTTCCTGTCACACACCCTTTAACACACACACATAACAGGACACAACTCCTACTAGAGCACTTATGGGTCTGTTTTCATCCCACTCCACTATGCTCTATGCTCTATGCCTCCCTATACCTTCCAAGATGTCTATCTCCCTGTGCAGATGGGAGTGGAAGGCAGGAGAGCCCCTTACCTCATAGAGCAGATCAAAAGCTGAGGCCAGGGCTGGAGTTGTGGCTCAGTGGTAGAGTGCTTGCCTGGCATGCGTGAGGCCCTGGGTCAGTCCTCAGTACCACATATAAATAAATAAATAAAAGATTCATTGACAACTAAAAAATATTTTTTAAAAAAGGGTTGTGGTTGTGGCTGAGTGGTAAGAGCTCTCGCCTGGCATGTGTGAGGAACTGGGTTTGATTCTCAACACCACATACAAATGAATAAATAAAATAAAGGTATTGTGTCCATCTACAACTAAAAAAAAAAAAAAAAAAAAAAAGCTGAGGCCAAAGATAGTTGTGTGTTGCTGACCTTGTCCTGTCCTTCCACTGTCTGTGATTCCTATTGTTATCACTGAAGCCTGTCCCTGGGAGTATTCAGCCCCAACCCTGCCCTCATACCCTTCATAGTTGGTTAGAAAACCCTCAGTATGAAATTAGGTAGTTTGAGCAGAACGATTTTATTTGTGGTTCACCATCCACAGCCCCTTGAAGATGAAGGTCCAGAGTAAGCCAAGCTTCTGGGCATTTCTAAAGGATCAGAAAGCTCCCAGGTTGACAGAGGTGTCTGAGAACTGAGGAAAAGGAAGGAGAAGGAAGGGAAGTTAGCATTTCTGGAGGCTCCCATTGGCCCTTGGATTCATCCACCTCCCCAAGCCCTCTACTTCCAGCCATTCCATTCTCCATTAAAGCTCTCAATAGCTGGGATCACACCTGTAATCCCAGCAACTCAGAAAGCTAAGGCAGGAAGTTCAAGTCTAGCATCAGCAATTTGGCAAGACCTGATTTCAAAATAATAATAATAATAATAATAGATGTGACATACTAGTACAAACTTTAAAAATAAAATAAAAAGAATTGGGGATGTGGCTCAGTGGTAAAGCACCCCTGGGTTCAATTCTCAGTACAAAAAAAAAATTTTTTTTTAAATAAAAGCTCTCAACATTTAGGAAACCTGCCTTCAAGATACCACCATAACTTTGGGATGATATTTCACAATTTGTCCCTTAGAGTGCCTAAAGAGAAGCAGATGAGGAAAAGCCAGTGGCCCTGCTTTTCAAACCCCCACCCTGAGTCACAAGTCCCCTCTACAACCTTACTTCTCTGCTAACCTTGAGGTGAGAGGATCCACACACTGGTGGTAGCAGTATGGGTGTTGCTGATTTCTGTGGTCATGGTGGGAAGATTGGTGGCAGCTGGGCTTTGAGGTTTCTGCCGGTACCTTCTGCGGCTACACTTGAACATACTGGGAATCCGGGGACGGGGCCAACCCATACCTGGCCTACGGTAAGGGGAACTCAGGCCCCGGGGCCGAGGGGCACGGACAAGCTGAGAAGGCCCCATGAGCATAAGAAGCTTCTGCAGTGTGCCCGAGGGGTGTTGCTGACCAGGGCAACTAAGGCCTCTATGACATACAGTCTGCCTAAGGGTGGTGCTCTTTATTACAGATCCTGGCCCCCCATGGAGCCGGCTCCCTCACAGTTTTCCTCATTGGGTCCAACTCAAGAGCTAGACAGAGCTGGGTTGTCCCTTGGGTAAAAGAATTCTAGGTAGGGGGGAAACAATCACTCAATTTTTTCATTTATGCACATTAACATTATTAACAATGTTTATTGAGCACTTGTTATATGTCAGACACTGTGTTAAACACTTTACAAATGTTGTCTAATTTCATGATAAACTTACAAGAAGATTCTATTATTATCCCCATTTGTACATAGTCAGCTTTCTTTATTCCCTGTAGTTATGTTCCACAAAGTCACCACAAACATTAACCAATTCTGTATCATCCCCAGGGGAAATGCACAGGTTGCTACAACTCTCAGTCACAACATTTTTTGAAAATGTTCAGTGATCAACACATAACCTGTTTTTTGTGAATGGAGATACCTTATTTAATATATAGTATTGAGTCATTAACAATGAACTTGTGGCCACCAGAAGTATAATCTGTGCCTCATTCAAGTTTATCTAACATATTCATTTTCTCCAAAGCACATTATGAGCTTCTTGTGCTTAGGAACCTAGAGGATACTTTAGCACTACTACTAGGAGCTATTTTAACCTGCAAAATCACCAAAAAGAAAAAAAAAAGTGAAAAAACATGGCATTAAATAGACTCTCAAAACAACATTTGTTTATGAGAGAAAAAAAAAAAAAGAGTCCTCTCATTCAACATACCTCAGCTGGAAATGTATATGTGTTTGGCAACTCAAATTTTTTACCTTGTCAGGTATGGTGGCACATATCCATAATGCTAGCTCCTCAGGAGGCTGAGGCAAGATGATAGCAAATTTAAGGCCAGCCTCGGCAACTTAGGGAGAACTTCTCTCAAAATAAAAAGAGGTGGGGATATAGATGTATGGTAGAACAGTTGCCTAGGATGTGCAAGGTTCTATGTTTGATTCCCAGAATAAAAAAGAATATTTTGATTTTTACTTTGCTATGCATGTACACAAATGACTGCAAAAGTGTCACAAGTATTCGTTTGGGGTTAAAAAATAATTTTAATGAGTAGGTAAATTCACAGTTATGGAATCCATGAATAATAAGGATTGACTGTATAAGAAAATTGAGGCTCAGTGAGATGAAGTAACACAATTAGAGGTAGGCGGTAGTTCAGGTCCATGATGGTCAAGGTCCAGAGCATTATCTCTTGCTACTCTGTGCTCATTCATTCATTCAGGAATTGTTCACTAACAACTTCATATTAGTGTGGGCACCGGGGACATATAGAAGAATGTGACCTGTTAGACGAAAGAGAAAGCCTTATGAATAATCAATACAGGTGGAAATGTAAGGGCACTAATTTTGTGTACATCTCCTTCCTTATAGATAGGGGCTCTGCCCTGCTTTGCACTGAGTTGGGGGACTTGGACTTGCCTTTCCCTCTATAACTCAGCCTTCTATCCCTTTCCCTTCTACTCTAATGTCCACCTTCTGTCCCATAGAAGCCTGCTGGAAGATGGTAGGGCCCTCAGCACTACTGTGGCAGATCTTACCATCCCTGACTCCAGCCTCTACTCTCCTTATCCTCAGTCTCAAAATATGACCTTGCCCCACCAAACTTTAGCCACTTACCTGTAAGACTCTCTGCCCCTCCTTTTCCTCAGATCTAGGACCAAGGCCTTCTCCCCTGCTCTTTATTGAAATCAACCCGACCTGCCTCCTTAGATTCCATCTGAGTTGGCACAGTAGTTAAGAGGTGCACTCTGGGCTGACTGACAGGTTGATTCCTAATTATACAACTTGTAAGTGGTAGACCCAGGGTTCTACTGATCATGGCAAGTACTTAATTTTTCTATGCCTCCAATTCCTCATATTTAAAGTAGGGATTAAAAAGAAAATATCTCATAGGATTGTTGTGAAGGAGGAAAAAAGACAATATATGTAATGCATTTAAAGCATAATCTGTATTATTATTTTTTTAAAGACTAGTCTTGATAGGTTGCTAAGACTAGCCTTTTGGTTTAAAAAAAATTTTTTTTAGTTGTAGATGGACACAATAACTTTATTTTTATGTGATGCTGAGGATCAAACCCAGTGTCTCACACATGCTAGGCAAGCACTCTACCACTGAGCTACAACCACAGCCCCTCAGACTGATCTTGAACTTGTAGGTTTAAAGGATCTTCCCACCTCAGTCTCCAGCAACCCAGTTTATAGTCTTCAATATTATGATTCTCTCTCTCTTCTGTTTGTTTAGTTGCCTCCTCCCACTTAATTATAAAAAATTTAAAAATATACTTCCTGGACTTGGGGTGTAGCTCATCCCGTAGCCCTTGTGCTATATGGCTCTTCCTTCTGACTTTGCTCTATGCTCTTTCCCCTGTGACCTAGAGCAGGAAGAAAATCCCATTTTAAAACCCCATACCTATTCAGACCAGGAAACAGATGTTTAAAAACAAGCCTAAGAAAAGCCACCAGGATCATACAGCTAAGAAATGACAGAGCCAAGATTTGAACACCCAGTTTGAGTAACTGGAAAGCTAGGGCTTTCCCAACACCTCTTCATCAGGAATGGTGAATGGGAGGTTGAGGAGGTAGTCCTGGGAGGACTGATGAAGACAGAGGTTATAGAGCCTTGGAACTGGGGTGACTCCTTTGTGGGACCATGATGCCACCTGCTGGCAGAAAGAAAAAGGGTATGCACAGAATGCTAAAAGAAGACTGGAGAGGAAAATATGGGGAAGGAAAAGAGAGGGGGGGAAAAAAGGGAACTTAAGGTTTTATGGAGGGAAAAGGACTGGGAATCATGTGCTACTCAGAGGAGAGAACAGAAGCTGCCAAACTTGGTCATTTTCTTGAAAGTGTGGCTGGTGGGCTGCAGCTGGGGCTCAGCAGTAGCATACTTGCCTGGTATGTGTTGAGGCACTGGGTTCAATTCTCAATACCACTTATAAATTAAAATATTAATTTAAAAAAGGTCTATAAACAATTAAAATAATATTAAAAGTAATAAAATAAAAATTAAAAAAAAGAAAGTGTGGTTGGTGTGTGTGTGTGTGTATGTGTGTGTGTGAGAGAGAGAGAGAGAGACAGAGAGAGAGAGAGAGAGAGAGAGAGAGAGAGAGAGAGAGGAAGGCAGAGGCAGATGCAGAGTGTCTTAA